CAGTGTATCCTTCAGGCTGCAACCTCGGGTAACTAAGGACACACAGGTTCGTTAAGCTCGTATCTCCTACAGAAACCCCTTGCGGCAAATACACATATATACTTATGTATATTATCATACATTTAATTGTTTCGATGAATTTTCTTTTTTTTTTTTATTAAACAAATAACACCTCGGCAGCTATGGCCATTGGTCAAACAGTGAATAAAATTAAAACATATATATATATATATTATGATGGTTACTGAATCTAGATGGAATTCATATTTTGTTATACAAATCAGATTTTTTTTAGGAAGGAGAACAAATAATGAACCGAACTAATATCTGGGCTGAGAATTTCGTATAGATGAGTAGACCGGAGGATTTCCACACGATCGATACGGTAGTTACGGCATTCTCTGAGGATGTGCTTGACTGTAAGTTGAACGCCACAGAAAGCATATTTGAGAGGCTTGTCTCTTGGCATTAGATGACCGTGGGTGAGAAAGGTGTGTCCGATTCTGAGACGATTTAAAATTGTCTCTGCTCTTCTGGAACTATCTGGAGGAGGAGGCCAATGGATTACTGAAACTTTAATTTCATTGAGTTTAGTGGACTTTGATGATCAATCTTGTTGCCACAGCATGGAGGTATGCATTTTTATATTTTTGTTGATATCAGAGAAAGAGAAATCGGGCACATTAAGGGCAATAGATTATGAAACGCCATAAACATATAAATAGTAAAAAGCTGTTTAAAACCTAAAAAAATAATAAATAACTGATAATTCACCCATAAAAAACCAATAAAAAATGCATTCGAATATTGAAGATGATAAATGCAGTAAGAAAAAAGAAGTGAGGCATATAATATTCATATTATAATTAATTGTTTTGCATACATTTTGAGCGAGCAGAACGCTCTAAGAAAAAAATGAATTATATTTATATAAGAGAATACTGGCGATTTTTAAGTCCAGCAAATACATCTACATTTTTTTCCAAATCGATGTTTTTACTTCTTCTATTTCAAATTTTAGCATCATAAGATCATTTAAAACTTAATCATCGCCCATAGAAGTTCATAAATATGATTTTACATTTTTAAAATATTTTTACGATAAAAAAACCTTTCATTGATGCTATTGTACTAAAGTTTTTATCAATAAAATAATTGTCAATTTTTCCTTAAAAGTGGTCGGTAACCTTTCAAAAGCGAAGTTATAACCGTGTGGTTCCTTATCTATATCTATATTCTGTAGTTATCAGGTATGTCTGATAGATTATAAAAGAAACGCGATACATTTATTAAATAATGCTAAAAAATAAAAACTCAATTATTCGATAGCATGATTTTTGTTTATTGACAGTAAAATACCAATATTTCGTAATATAAAAATGTAATTTAATTTTAACTATAGAAAAAAAATGACGCATTCAATATCAGCATTCAGCAGGCCAATCGGGGCTATTTTAAAAGTTGGAGGTGCAACCGCACACCCTCCTCTCAATCCCTAAATGACATCCCTGTATTGAGTATGGAATTCGTGCCAATACAACATGTAACTGGGTTAAAAAAAAAAAAACAAAATAACACATTTTTAATTTGGTTACATATTTACGTTTCAATATGTCCTAAAATTAATAATTAATTTACGTAACTAATGTCGGTAACCTCTTTCATATTATAGCGGTTGGAATTGTTTACGTTTCAAACAATAACATGTATGCCTGTCTGCGTTTGGATTTTTTTTTTTAAATATATTTATTATAATATACAGGTACCCCCACTAATAAGTTGTGATTTCCGATTAAAAAATAAATAAATTTCAATTTGAAAATAGCTAGTCGTAAAAAAATTATAACAGACATTAAAAAAAAAGGTAGAGGGGGGGGGAGATATACCTAATCCCTAATGCCTCCCTACACCGTCAATACGACACTAATGATAATATTAATACACCTGCCAATAACACGAGCTATAATATGTTCTATTGCTGGCTGCTGCGTTTTACGCGAAGAGACGACGAGGCGCTTCGGAAATATGGAATCGGTAATCCTTTCACGTTTGCGTGCGGGGTCCGTGAGGGGTCGCTCCCCGATGCGGTTCTCTCCGGGGATTTCAAGACACGCGATGGTACGTCGTCGTTGTGACACAATGCACGGACAAAACATACTCCGTTATGGGTCGTAGAATATTCGCGGCGGCGTGTTTTGGATGTTGTCCGGGCGAGCTATTAAACGTCGAAATCGTATTGAAATATCGTAACCGAATCACACGTGCCTCGTCTTCCCGCCCGCCGTGAATCCACCGCCGGCAATATCGGCAATGTATAAACGGGATAATATCGTCTGTCCGCTGATTGACGGGTTCGCACAAAGTGACGTAATTTCCGATAACGTACGGTCGGACGGACCGTGGGGTCGGGGGTCGGGAGTCCGAAACTTCGGCCGCGATTCTCTCTCTCTCTCATTCTCTCTCTCTATACATATGTACACACGTTTACGCCGAGTCCACTTACCGTCATGAGTCTACAAATGTTTTCCCCGTAATTGAAACCCGCGAGACCGGGAAATCTCTCAGTAAACGAACAGTCGAGGAGAGCGATGAATGTTGAAACCGCCGAAAGTCGCGTATTCGATACACACACGCACGCACGCACGCGCGAAATTTCGCGTACGTTACACCGCCCGCTCGCGACTCCTTTTGGATACCGGGCTCATCGTTACCGCGGAGAATCCGTCTGTAATCTGTTCGCGTTTGTTTTCGATAGTTTTCAGAATTCGTTTTGGCCGCCGTTTCGACCTCCGTAATCGAAATACTCTCGACGGACCGTAGAAACGTTTCTCTAGCTCCCGGATTTTAAAAAAAAAAAAAAAAATACTACAAATTCCGGCCTTTTTTCGCCGTCATATTACATACAGATCTCGACGCGACCGTATTCGTTCGACAGTTTTCAGAATTCGCACGGTTTCGCGCATGGTAAATTAAAGCTTCTGTTTCGATTTCACTAATAAAACTCGAACAGAACTCAACGGTGAAACGTAAATCGCATTTTGTTAACACCGCGTTTGTTTAGGTACGCGCGGGACAATTGTAATTACACGGTATATATTATAGCGCCGATAAATTCTCAATCGCACGTTGCACGCCGGTAAAGCCCGCGCGTTATTAACTGTTTTTTAAAAATTCTATTATTACTGCGTTGTAATAAATATTTTACGCGACGAGGAGACGCTGCTGTATCCGACCAAAGGAGCGCCGAGCAATGTGGCAAAGTCGTTTCGGATAAAATTATATGTACGCGATATCCCGCAGGTCGTAAATACGGAAACGATTAACTATGAATTTCGGGGCGTTGTAAATTTAAAAGCGGGCAAAACACGTTCGCTAGACGCGGCGGCACATTAATCGGCACGCATAAAGCGAGGCAATCGACAATGGGAAAAGCGCGATGGTTTGAGGAAAAAAAAAAAAAAAAACGATTCCGGTAAAAAATACCACGCGAGGGTCGATTGCGAATTCGTATCATATACCGTGTAATTATAATTGCCGTGGAAATATCCCGATAAAAACAGTATCAATGGACATTTTTTTTTTTTCCATTTTATCGTTCAATTCTATTCAAGTTTTACTGTTTAAATTGAAACAAATGCTTCGATTTGCTATGCATAATATTACGCCAAAAAACGCGAAATTCGTAGTATTTTTTTTTTAAAAATCCCGAGCTGGAGAAACGTTTGTGTAGCTTCTGTCCAGTATTTCGGTTATAGCGGCCGTAGAGAGACCGAACAAATTTCGACAACTGTTAAACAAATGCGAACGAATCGTAAACCAATTCGCGGCGGTATTTAAAACCTCGACATTTTTTTTTTTTAAAAAAAAAAGGGGGAGTCAATGTAACATATGCGAAAATTTCACCCACCCCCCCCTCCACCCGGCTTCATTTCGAGGGTCCGTAGGAATGTTAAAAACACCTTCCTCCCTCGACGATACGACGAAGTTTATGTTGAAATTCAACCAGAATCTTATCGCTTCAACAAANATTCGCGGCGGTATTTAAAACCTCGACATTTTTTTTTTTTAAAAAAAAAAAAAAGGGGGAGTCAATGTAACATATGCGAAAATTTCACCCACCCCCCCCCTCCACCCGGCTTCATTTCGAGGGTCCGTAGGAATGTTAAAAACAATAAAAACACCTTCCTCCCTCGACGATACGACGAAGTTTATGTTGAAATTCAACCAGAATCTTATCGCTTCAACAAAAACGACGTTTAATCGCCGTGTCTGTTGGTCGATATATTATTGTCCAGACTTTCCGCCTGCTGCAGCGGCGCCCGTCCGCGGTGCGAAGCATACTTTGCTTTTTTTCATTTTTTTTTTTTTTCCAAACGGCCCGGACCCGTTTGAGCGTGGCCGACGTTTACGGGCGGCGTGAGACCGTAGTGCACGCACGCAACACCGGCAACAATATCGGAACGACAATTTGCATCGTGTTGCACGGGCAGCGGCGTTTCCGGCGCCGCTCGTTATTTCGCCCGAAACGTCGCGCGGTCTGCCGAAAACCCGCCGGAGGCGCCCGATTATTCTGTTTCGCGACGCGTTCGCACCCCACCCCCCACCCCCCTCCTCCTCCTCCTCCTCCTCATCCCCCCGGCGCAATAACAATTATTACGATGCGTACGCGGAACGTCCGTGTGTGCGCGCGGGTCCAAGCCGGGCGCCCGTGGCTTCGGCGTTGTCGCCGGTCCGCGGCCGGATCGATACCCGAAACGGGCGCGTTACGGCGACGAAACCGGCCGCGGGAAACGTCGTCGCGCCGCCGACCACGCGTTATTGCGACGAGCGCGCGTGTCGAATTTCGCCGCGCCGATGTTCACGGCCCGTGGTTTGTTCCGCTTTCGGTCCGTCCGCGCCTTTGACCGGCGACCGCACGTCGCGGCACAACGAGACGCGGCGCGCGTTTCTTGTTCGGGCGCCGACGTTTTCGTAGCGTGTATCGTACAATACGCATGCGAATGCACACGATCCGCAGCTTCCGGAACGGCCCGGCCCTGTCTTCGAAACCGCTCGCGTCCGTCACCGGCCGTCCGACTCTTGCGCGGCGCGGCAAGGGTACAAAAAAAAAACCAAAAAACCGACAGTTTACAGAACGTCATCTGTTTCTTTTACCGTTGTCTATTTTCCCTGTCGGTGACGAATCGATCGTTTCTCGGCCGGCAAATGTCCGATCGGCCTCGCCTTCACTCACGTTGTTCAACCCAACGTCGTTTCTTTTTCCGTTATTCGGCACCGCTTCGTTCGTCTCAATGTGTTCTACCCTGCTCCCTCCGTCGTTCCCCTCCGCGACGCGGCTCCGTGGATCCACGTCTTACAAAACCGCATAATAAAAAAAAATTTATTATGCGGTCATTTTATCACTAATTTTGTCTAGCCAGTGTACCGAAGACGACAATTTTTGATTTTCTCAGGTGTTTTCAAAACAATTGGGATTAAACCCCGGAAGAAAATAATAGGTAAAACGGCAAATGATTACAGCGCGCCACGGTTACATTATTCTGAAATGCGTATACACGGTGTTTTCTACCAGAAATATTGCTCCAATCGAAAAATGGCAAGAGATCCGATTTGATTATTTGAACATTTAGCCGTTAACAGAGAAAGTCGGTTTTTTGTTATCTAAAGTATTTTTCATTATAATTTAGAAACCCCCCCCCCCCAAAAAAAAAAAACAAACAAATAAACTTAAATGTAATATTGAATGAAACAAGTTATTTCAAGTAACAGGTCATCGTGGCGTCGGGATACCTGTATATAATCTCGGATATAACCGAAAATAGTTAAATAATAACAATACTGTCGTGTATATGTTTTCACTATGTTTACTGTACAGCCGGCGTACAACACGGTGAACTAACTATAGCCGCTGTTGTAGATTTAGACATTCATTAGGTACTATTGGTTATTTACCGTAAACCATTAATTAAATAGTGATAGTTACAGTTATGATTATAGTTAAATAGCTATCTGCCCTCACTAATGCGATTACACAGTACACCACCACAACAGTCTAGCACTATATTAGTTCGCGTTATTTTTAATATTATGTCTACTGCTCTTTTTATTAAAATGTACCTAAAATGTAATACCTGCTAAATTACCAACGGTAGGTGGTGTAATGGTATACTCACCCTTAAATTTACCAATATATAAATTCGGCGCCACTGATAAAATAATCTAAATGTAAAAGTTGGTGATTTATGCTCGTGCATTACTCTAATCGAAAACCGCCAGAGAAAAGGACTGAAATTTTGGATCAAGTCAAATGATGCATTCGGATAGGTAATTTTTTTCTGAAATTCATAGTAGGAACTTTTTTTATTTAAAAAAAAAAATGAAAAACGTTAAAAAAAATGACGATATGAGTACTGGTATCAGATAAAACCTACATAAAATGGCGAGAAGAAATCTGACATATGTGAACGTGAGCGGACAAACGGGGATCCGACATCTCAAAGCCGGATATTGATAGAAAAAAAAAAAAAAACAAATAAAATATTATATTAAATATTTCTGGCATGCTTGGGAACGGGAGAGTAGAGAAGTATTATTAAAACGCCGGGTGCTGTGTAGCCGTACAAATTATACTCCAATACTCTGCCCCAGACTACCATATCCAAACTTAAAAGAAAATATCTCGTTAACGGGTTGACGGAAATCAAAAAATGTCAACGCCAAAATGTATTTCAACTAGTGCTCCGCTCATTTATGAAGCAGTATTATTATTATGGGTTGCCGTTTTAAAATCAAAAGTAGGGTAGTCGTTTCACTCCTCCACCTGCAAAAAATAAAAAAGTGAAGATAATAAAAATAATGGTAACATTTTAGAGCTGCTTGTTTCTTAAATTTAACGTAACACTTAAAATCGGTATAAAACAGTATTAATTATCACTGCGGTAACCATAAAAGTTAATAATCGAGGAGATTCGTCTGAATTAATGATGTTATTTGTAGAACTTATCATTTTTTAACTTGTAGTAAAAATCTATCGCACTTAATTTACCGGCTCTTTATCATGTTTAATCGATTTGTCTTTTTGAAATGTAACCAATGAAAAAGTATAGCGACTTCTTTCAGTGGCTGCTGGATGTTGCTACGGGGTCGATAATATTTTTACTGATTTTTTTGATACACGACGTGATAAAGCGATTTAAACACGTTTGTTTCGTAGAATCGAGATAACCGAATGCCAAGGGTACCGTTGGGGGCGGGGGAAATAAAAATATTTACCCAAATTTCAGATGGGCGGATAGACTCGTGGGCAAATACCCGATAAATACCCAAAACATCATACGTGCGCGCGGGTAAATCGCCCAAAGGCGCGTCACTTATGCGCGACCGTAATAAAATCTCGTAAATCCCATAACGAACAGTTGTATCGGCCTTTGGGTTTCGAGGCGAATATCTCGCGATATACGACGGCGGTCGTTACGGCAATACCATTATATCGGATCATTTTTCTCGGATATTGACAAAGGCGCGCGGTCGTCATAGAATACAATACTGCAAGTGCGTACTGTATGCTTATATAATATGTGTGTGTGTGTGTGTATGTGTGTGTGCGTGTGTGTGTGTGCGTGCACTATATATTATTATATTAATGCCGTTCGTATCCGCTCTCCGCGTCGTCAGTTTAACAAGTCCAACGCCTGCGAAACGCGGTCTATTTACGTCACCGTCGCAAGTGATTTCATTATATTATTATAATATATACGAGTAAATAATAAATTTTATTTTTTTTCTCTCGCGCGCACGCGTCGGATATTATTTCGGATTTGACTTTTAAATTAGTAGCGGAAACGTCATCGGTTCGACGTTTCAATCAAAAATGATCTGCGCATTGTGTTCGCTTCGATTTAAAATAGAATATATAAATATATATACACAGTCAATATTGTACAACGACAATACGCATTATACGATTTTCTAAAAACGCACCGATCGATATTAACGGAACACGTATACATAAAACATGTAAAACCTTTAAATAATGAAAATGTCAAAATCGTGATTGACAATTGAGAAATCTGACAAGTCTATGAGTTTTTACACCTTGATATAGTTCTTTAACGGCAAGTCAACCGTGGACATCAAATAAAGAGTAATGGGTTGTAGGCAGATGAAATTCGGATGCGGAGAAGAACGACCAAGACAAGATAGATAGAAAAGAATAATAACGAGAGTGTTGGGAGAAATACAAGAAAGAAGGTGATTATGAAATCGATAACAGCAAGAAAAATCAAGTTAATGGGTACCACATCCGACACAATGACTTCATTAAAAACATATTTGCAGGGAAAACATTAGGAAAAAAAAATAGAGGAAGACCGAGAAAAAGATATTTTGAAGTAATGCAAGATTCAATGAACTGCCGATCGTTCCACGAATTGGAAGAGTTTGGAGAGAGAGAGAAAGGAGTTGCTTTACCGACAGGGGTTGACCTTTTAAATGTATGATGATGTATACAAGATAATCCATTTAATTGGATACACTCTTTATATCGGGAATTATTAAATTTGTTTGGAATTAGTATTATAGAACATTTAAGAGACAAGCAGATCTCCAATTGTACGTTTAAGTTATTTTTTATCGCCCTTATTATTGGGGATAAAACCACTTACTACTTTTGATTTTTATGTGGTAACATATATTAAAATACCCGCATGCGCTGTCTGAGGGCAATGTAGCAAAATCTACATTGCGCAGACTGCATAGAACTCTCTTGATTTTGGTTTTAGAGTAAAATCAACTATTAGAAAATTAAAATCGAACAATATTTCGGAGGGTAAGCGATGCGTTTTTTTTTTAAATTCATTTTTTGAAATGTGAAAAAGTAATTTAAAAACTAAGAATTAGTTATGTCCGGAATAATAACTAGAACAATAGGAAAAACGCATCGTCTTGCCCTCTTTTAATTGTATAATAAGTATTAATGACATTTTACAAAAATATTTTTCGATAGTGCTGAGACGGCACATGCGTCTTCATAACGAAAACGTATATAAAAAAAAAAAAATATTTCGCACGGTGGGTGTACCACTGTTTTTTGATGAGAAGTTGGGAAAGTAGTATATAGAGAGGAATTTAATGTATATACGCATCGGTTAATCTTTGGTAACGATAAACGATTTTGAGCGGAGTTCAGTTATACATGTTTTGAAAGACCGATATTTACGATTTGAAAATATATTACGTATATTTTCCTGTTTTTCCTAAGTTTCTTCCCTGTTTTTCCCATTTATTATGAAAACCCCTGAAAACACAAAAGAATTACCTGTTTAAAACATCAACTCAGTTAGATTTTCTTTGAGAAAAAGTGCTACACTCGAAAATCGGAAAAAAATTGCTGGTAGAAAAGTTATCCGCAGAAAAAAAAATAAACATCATCGTAAAACCAAATACATTTCTCGCTCAGCTCAGAATGTAAAAAACGGACTGACATGATTCGCAATACGGGCGGGCCACTGTTGTAGGTGAGAAATTGAGAAGGTGGGATATAGAGGTGAATTTGATTTATATCTGTATACGCAACGATTAATCATCCAAATGGTATTAACGAAGAATAAAATATACTTGAGTGTGTAACTGCGATGCCGATGCGGTTTTAGCGAAAAGGCTGCATTGATTTCCATGTCAAACGAGAAAGAAGAACATATTAATATTTAATTAATTATAACTTTCTATACTATATTCTATAACTTTGAAACTAAAACTTATAAGTACGCAATATTGCTAAAAGAATTAATTATAAACAATTTATGGCATTTTCCGGAGTTCCTAAATAGTTTTGACCTTTCATACACTCGATTTGACCTAAATCCAACCCTCGTTAAGACCGGGATAACTTTTCCCTCGCACTGCAACAGTTCGCGTTATTATACATTGCATTATTTATAAGCCGACGAGCGGATTCGTTTCGACTTCAATATTATAATGTGCAGTTATATGCAGATTAACTTCGTAAATATTCTCGATATCTAACATTCTTACCGATTGGTTATTTAAAAAACATAATCATTGATATGCGTACAAGTTTATCGGCAGACACGCAGGTATAAATTATTTATGGAGTAGAGGAGGGAGGGAAGTTCTGTTTATAAACTATTTATAACAGTAGCGAATTGGGAACTGATAAAAAAAATAATTGAACTGTTGTGTATTAATTTCGAAATGGTCAGGTGTTAAAATCGTTTGAACCCTCTACCCACTCATATTTACGCCCCTGAATACAAGTGCGAATGATAACGTTGCGTTAACCGATTAAACGTATAATTTTATGTTTTCTTTTGGAAATGAAATCCATTGGATATTTTCGAAATAGCCTCAT